ATCTTTGCAACATGATTATGCCAAAAGGCATGGGGGACTTAGGAGTGTGGCAGAGCCAGTGCAATGGCTGTACAGAGTGTTATTCATAAATCTGATTATCTTGCTTGTGAATTTTATGAACTTTTATGAAGTTTTTAATATGTGTGTTTTGTTTTTAATGTTGCATAGTTCAGTTGTTTTATATGATTTAACTCTTTGTAATAGTCACCAATAAGTGATGAGTGATTACATAGATTGGAACAATTGAAAAATAGAAAGGATTCTTCCCAATTTGGTTTTGACAGATAGTACTAAATATATGATTATTTTAGTACCAAGTCTGAAATTACCAAAGTTGATGTTTCCTGTAATTAAATGTTTAGTTTGGTCCTAGTTTATTGCCTTTGCCTCAGAAGGGGGCAGGCCTGTGAAACTAAGCAGGGTCAGATCTGGACATTATTTGAATGGGTGACCACTTTGGGAATTCCAGAACTGTAATTCTGAAACATCAAAAACATTCCAGAAGGCAAAGAGTTACTATAATGTTACTAAAATAATGACATTATTGTGGCTTTAGTATCAAGAAGAGTAGAGCTGAGTTTATCTTTTAATTTATTTTGTCATATGTTGCTGTTTTATGGGGATTCCTTGTGTCCAGTGTTAAATTCTTCAGCCTTCTTCCTAAACTGGTACTCCCTCAAAATCTGTAAAGCAATGAAGAATTACATCAATATATTATAACAATCAACAAAATTGAGGTCAAACAAAAGCAATTTAAGAGTGAGAGAACACAAAACAATCAGTAAATATTTTCACGTGCAACACCAAAACTGACATTCAAGGGGAAGATTATTTCTTTTTTCATATTTTGCACTGTTAAAATATTATCCCATCCAAAAAAAGATTACAAGGAAAAAATAAAAGAAATCTATGCGCTTTTATGGCCTTTGATGGACAGAAATGCAAAGAATGCAGATTCCCCATCACTGCAGTTCACCAGAAAAGATAAAAAAAAAAAAAAAAAACAGCTACAGTATTACCATATTTTTCCATCTATAAGATGCACCCTTGTATAAGATGCTCTGGCATGTGTGTTTTTCTGTGCTGATCAGCTGAGCACCGAACAGCTGAGCTGGCAAATCCGGAAGTTCGGCCGGTTGATGATCTTGCCCCCTCCCCCCTCCCATTAGTGCAAGCCCACAAGGGCTTGACACCTGCACCAGGCGGCATGGCAGCAGCATGTAAAGAACCCACACAAGCATGCTGGGGCTGTGGAGGTTACCATTATTTTTCTGTGTATAAGATGCTGCACTTGTATCATGAAGCTGTGAATACTGCCTCTCTCACCAAAAATGGCAATCCTAGGCTTAGCTAGATGTTCTGATTTTCCTTAAGCTTTGTAAGTAGACAAACCCTTAGAATTGACCCTTAGAATTTGCAAACATAGCTTGTAAATACTGCTTGATCTAGAGCAGGGTGTCCAACCTTGGCAACTTGAAAGACTTGTCAACTGGCTGGCTGGAGAATTCTGGGAGTTGAAGTCCACAGGTTTTAAAGTTGCCAAGGTTGAGCACCCTGATCTAGATGCTTCTTAAGGACAAGGGAGAGTTTACAAAATAAGATATGTAGGGATACAACTAACTGCTAGATGCGTTACACTCAAAAGAGACAACTATGATAAGTTAATTGAACAGATTAAAAAGGATTTAGATACTTGGACCAACTTACAGCTCTCCTTCATGGGCAGAATTGCTGTAATCAAAATGAATGTGCTACCGAAAATTTTATTTTTGTTCCAATGTATACCCATAAAATTGAATACGAATTTTTTTTCAAAACTTTAACAAAATTGTACTCAAATTTATTTGGCGAGGAAAAAGAGCAAGGATTAAATTAAAATTACTGCAGGATTCGAAGGAAAGGGGGGGACTTGGAAAAATATTATCAGGCCATAGTATTATTATGGGTAAGGGACTGGATATTATTAAAGAACAGGAGATTATTATGTCTAGAAGGTCTTGACTTACAAATAGGATGGCAGGCTATGTTATGGGATCAGAAATATAAGACACACAAATATTTTCGAAGGCATTATATCAGACAAGCTCTAATTGAAGTATGGATTTAAACCTGGCAACCAAATTATTCTCAAGTCCCCAGCTGGATCTCATCATTAGAAATACATGTACATCCAAGGTTTATCCAACTAGATAAGATTATAACATATAAAAATGTTCTAGACGAGAGAGGGGAATTGAAACCCAGGAAAATTCTTCAAGACGAAGGGAAGAATTAGAATGGTGGGCATACCTTCAATTACAGGCGAGATATTGGAAAGATAAAAAAAGAGTTAGGCATAAAATTAGAACCAATAGGGCTGGATAAAATACTATTAGGTACTGAGGATAAAATGATTAAAAAACTATATCATTATTTGTTAGATCAGGCAATGTATGAGGAACAGGTAAAAGAGACCATGTTAACGTGGAGCAAGGATTTTGATTTCAACTTAGATCTGCATCTGGCAAGAATTATGGGTAAGAAACAGGAAGCTCACTCTGGCCACCTCCTACAAAGAAAATCTCTACAAAATGTTCTATAGATGGCATCTTCCACCCATAAGATTAGCTAAAATGGGTCCAAATGTTTCTTCCAAATGCTGGAAATGTAAATTGGCAATAGGGACATATACCATATGTGGTGAGAGTGCCCATGATCCCGTGATTTTTGGAATAAGGTAAAAAATGGCTGGAAGAAATATTAATATTAGTGGTAGAGTTAAAACCAGAATTCTTCTTACTAGGCATAACCACGCAGAAATACAACAAAGGGGTATTTTACTTGATGTTATACATTCTCACGGTTGCTAGACTGGCGTATGCTCAAAACTGGAGGAATAAAGGAATTCCAACAGAAGAAGAGATTTTATATAAAATTTTATCGTGTGCTGAAATGGATAGGCTCACAATGGAAATGAAGGATAAGACAGAATCAGATTACTTTGAAATCTGGGACAAATTTTATTACTGGTGTGAATCAAGGAGAACTGCTCAGGTTTTAAGTTAGTGTTAAGATAGAAATATATATAACTGTATGTATAACTGTATTGAATAGAAGCATATGTTTATATCAAGAATTCTATGTATTAAGAGGAACAAATAATTAGGAATATTTACTCTGGAATTCATGTTATGTCCATCTTTGTTTTAACTGTATTATAAATAAAAACTTTTTAATAATAAAAAAAAGGACAAGGGAGAGTTTGAGCCAGGAACGGTAGACTTTGAACTCAGATTACCTGAGAATATACCTAGCTTTAGTATTTTTCCTCAGTACAATCCATAACTTTCTTCTTTGTGACACTGTAATTAGCTGTGGTTGAATGGATGGCACTGCAATGACTGAATTATGACTTCAAGTAAGAACAAGCCTCAGGGTAGGTGAGCTGAAAAGAAACAAAGGTACTGTTTTTATTCACATATCCCTCATGATAAGAAGAAGAAGAAAAAAAATAGGCAGGGAAGAGGTGGTAAGTCAGATAAAACTCATACCGAAGAGAAGTTTCTTTGTGGACAACTGTTTTTACACACGGTTACTGAACAGATCTCTAAAATGTCTGCTATAAATTATAAATATTAGCTTTCTCCAGTATGCCATTCTGCAGATATTTTGGATCACAGCTTGCCGACCATCACAGCTGGAAGACCCCAGACTGAAGAAAGCTGGATAAAAGATACATAGATACAATACCCACTCAGATATTCAGACAAGGATATCTGGGCTTAAAGAAAACACAGACCAGGAAATTCTGAGTTATTTTCCAAAATAATAAAATATCCATCTTCTTACATATTATAAACCTAAATGAGAGTAGACCATAAATAGAGTTAGTTTGGTGGAGTGGTTAAGCACTCTGTTAGAAATCATGGAGACCATGGTACCTGTCCTATTTAAGCACAAAGCCAGTTGGGTGACCTTGGACCAGTCATTCTCTCTCAGCCTTTGGAGAAAGCAAGGGAAAAACTTCTGAAAATCTTGCTAAGAAAATTGTAAGGATCAGTCCAGGAAGTTTCCAGGAATCAGGCTGGGAAGGCACAATTTATTGTTACCGTTATAAATACAAATTAGAAAGACAGGTAGATGATAGATAGAGACACAGGCAGACAGATAGACGGGCAGACATTATTGTGAAATGTACCATTCAGCTGAAAAGCAGGGCAGGGTGAGAATTTCATCTTGTTTTACTGCTTGGAAATTATCCAGATCTGAACATTTTTATAAAAAGAACATAAGTGTTAATTTTAAAAGAATATTAAAGGCCATTGAGTTGAGCTTGATTCCTGATGATTTAATCAGTAAATGGTTCCACCTTTGCCTGATACCAATAATAACTTACAGTTTTTCTAAAGACTTTCCATTTATTTTCTAACTCTGCTCAAACACAGTTTTTCCCTTCTTCTACATTCCTTTTTTTTTTTGCTAAGCATAATTATTTCTTCCTATCTCATCATCTGCTATGTCTAAAGAATATGAAATTCTGCTTGCCATCGATTTCCTGAAAGAATCAGTTCTTATTGAGGCCAGAAGGAATTGGGTCTTCTCACTGTCTCCTCCTCCTCCTCCTCCTCCTCCTCCTCCTCCTCCTCCTCCTCCTCCATGCAGCTCATGGTGAAGAGTAGCTCCTGATTCACTCATGAGATGTTATCTTGTTGGGTAATGCACCAAGGACTCATCCTCAACATTATCAGTGGACTCTGGGAAAGGCTAGGGCCTGGTAGTAGAGCACATTCTTTATATCTCATTTTCAGTCTTTGATATCTCCTGGGATTACAAATAACTCCCTGTGTGAAAACTTAATCAGCCAGAGCCATTTTGCAAAGATTAGATGAACAATTATTATGAGTCAGTCAAAGGTTGTTTGCAGCATATCTAACCTGAGAGGGAGCTCAGTTCCTTGGCTAAGGTATCCTGGGAAAAGAAACAAAACAATCACTACAGAAGCTGGACACAAATAACAAACACCACTTAAAAATAATAATAATGAGTACCTGGGAGGAAATCTAAAGAATTTCTTTAGGATTGAAGTGAGTTATGGGAAGGAGCCTAGAAGAGAGGTGGCTGTTTAATTGAAGATACTCACGTATAGTTCTCGGCTACTTGGTAACTAAGGAAATGTAAGAATGCCATATTCCATCCATAAATTTCTCAAAAACTCTTTTGTCCTTATCTTCCATCAACTGAATACCTGGTTAAAAAAATGACAAAGGATTTCTCTGTCTAGTTCTGGTAACTAGTCCAAAATTCAGCAACATGAAGATGTGGCTGTTCAGATTAGGAGTTGTTGGCATAGTCTTATATGTACATCAAGCTCAAAAGGGTTGGAGAGAGGAAGAAGGAGAGAATGCTTTAACAGTAGTGAAATAAATTTGCATAATTGGCATTAATCTATACAAGGACTTTTGGCAAGAGTGGTAGAAAACAAAAGTGGGTTTCAAAATTCTGGAAAAGTAATCTTTAGCAGTAATTAGTCCAGCTTGAATAAGAAGGGCAACATTAGCATAAGCTTCAGATAGCTCTTATATTAAGCCTATCATAAAGTTCCAAATGTTAAAATGAGTTCTTCCATTAAAACAGTCAGGACATTCATTCTGTTTGCACAGGGAAAGCAAATCCATTTATTATTTTTTTTCCTTCCTCACATTTTCAATAAACTCTCTTGGCTACAGTTCATGTAAGAGAACCTCATCTCAAGACAGATGAGCGGTGATGAATTGCAATGTTTTGTAACATTTTTTTTCCAAAAGGCATTGATGAATATTTTAAAAACAACTTTTAGCATTCTAGTATTCATTTCAGAGAGAAATAAACTGTCTTGCTTAGCAATACAAATCTTGGACTCAATTGTGATCACAAGTTGAGGACTACCTGCACTTTGGGTGGACATGGCTGTGTTCATTAGTCTGCCTTGACTTTTGACTTTTCTTATGGGGCAGTATGATGACCCTGTTGCTGGTCAATTTAATAAACATCTGTCGCCTTATTTGGGATTTAGTTCCTTAACTTACCTTAATGACTCTTTGCTATGTCAGGTAGTTCCTATTTTGTTCAATGTTTTCTCTTTCTTTTTGCCTCTGTAAAAAAATATAATCTTTTGTTCTTTATGATTCAACTTGTGTCTCTTCAGGACTATTATGATTTAGATTCAGGAATCTATAAAAGTTTTATTTGCTTTTACCTATTGGTTAAAAACCACAGCCCTAACCATAAACATCCATATATTCTTGTGGTAATGGCTGATTCTGATTTGCCAGGTGGCCACTTCTAACATATCAGCACTTCCAGCCTCCTTCCTGTCTTTAGTTGTCAATTAGGCTTGAACATCTAGCTCTGTCTACAAACTGGAGATTTTATTTCAAACTTCTTTCCATTCTCTATTAATTCTTTATATAACTTGCATTGTTAGAATATTCCTGGCTTTCTGTGCTTTCTTGTTCTATAATATGCTAACAGTCGCCTAGGTTACCTACTTTGGTAGAATGCAAAATCTTCCATTGTGTTTTTTGGGTCAATAAGTTCTCTTCTCCAGAAAGAGAAATTACTTTTTTTCAAGGTTAATCATATCCATTATTATGCCACATCATTGTGATATGTAAGAGAGGAATGGTGTGGCTGTATCTCAGATATGCCTGCATCTATACTTATTCAATGGACATGCACAGCTGGAAAGATTCACTTTGGACAGATTATTGCATGTTATACAAGCAACCTTTTCAAGCTCAGTGATTTGCAATGCTTCCTTGGGTATGTGCTGGATTGAGTCTTTTGCACAATCCTCTTGTACCTCCCCACTCCTACATTAGTGAGGAGAACCTGATCAGTATACTGCAACCATTTGACCTTTTCTTCAGAGAAAATCCATCTCAGTACTGTTTATCAGGAGAAAGAAAGTGGGGAAAAATCATATCTTCCCTTTGCTATAGGGAAAGAAGAACAGTCAGAGAACAGAATATAGAATAACAAAGTTAGAAAGGACTTTGGAGGTCTTCTAGTTCAATCCTCTCCTTATAGAATTCCAGACAAATGGCTATCCAATTTCTTCTTAAAAACCTTCAGTGTTGAAGCACCCACAACTTCTGAGGCCAAGCTGTTCTACTGATTAACAGAATAACAGAGTTGGAAGTGACCTTGGAGTTCTTCTAGTCCAACCTGCTACTGAATTAGATTAAATTTCTAGTCACAATGAATAATCGATTCTTTTTAGTGATGTCATCATATCACTATGATCAGATAACTTCTCACAACCTTTTGAAAAGTGAGTAGGTCAAATTATGGTCCCTGATTCCCCTTTCCAGCACTTACCTTAAAAAGATGTCTCACCTTTATATATGGTACATGCAGCTACATGTAAATGAACCCTTGTATGTGTAGCTATAGTAGGATTGCCCTTTTCTTTCTGACCACTCCTCATCCTTATGAAAGTGGAACATAATTGCTTTCATGTTGAAATATTGAAGAAAACCAGAGGAGATGAAGAGATTTAGTTGGACTTTTTAAAAGAAGAACTTGTCAATGCCTTAATAAATGTGATAAAATATTGAATACAAAGCTTTCTTGTATTCAAGCCAAATTTTTTGACAACATCTGTCTCATACAAGTTAATCAGGCAAAGACTTGGTTAACATTCTGGTGGGAAACTTCCAGGAAACTCCAGGATTGTAGGCTAGACTAGACTCCATCTCTTATATCCTGAAACGTAGAAAACCAATTCTGTATTGTTGAGAAAGTGATATAGTTGAAGTCATAAGGATTTCAGAGAAGACTTCAATTAAGTTAAATACTTCTTTAGGCAATGGATAGTTAACTATGGCACTCACTGCTATCAGAAGTTGGGTTAGTTCATAACTCAGATGGTTTTAAAAGATAAATTAATGCAAGATTAGGCTATTGATGACTATTAGATTTGACGATGATATGCTAACTCCATGAAATTAGGGAACAATATTTTTTATCTGTCTGTTGATGTTTATGAACCTGTGAAACATATCTGATTGGTAACTGTAGGATTGACTGCTTGATTGATGAACCTTTGACTATATCTAAGAGCCCTGGTGGTTCAGTGGTTAGAATGCAGTATTGTTCTGTATACTCTGTTCACTAGATCCTGACTGCTCAAGGTTGACTCAGCCTTCCATTCTTTCATGGCCAATAAAATGTTGAGAGCAATACGCTGACTCTGTAAACCACTCAAAGAGTGCTATAAAGCATGATGGAGTGGTATATAAGTGCTATTGTTATTGCTATATTCAGCAGCCCATTCTTATATAATTAAATCCGCTTTTCTCTAACTGCCTCATCTGTGAGCTATGTGGACTAAAAGCTATTGAATATTTGTAAAGTAAGGGTACTTCTAGATAATGTTCAAGAGCCGAAACCGATCATTATAATATAAAGTTTTATAACTGAACATTTTATATCATCATATACAATTATTTTATAAGAAACTATGTGTCATTTGAGAATATTGTATGAAAAAAGCATTATTTTTCTTTCATAGAAAATATACATGACAAATACAGCACAAAGGAGCTACCACGGGAAAGATCTAACAAAATAAAGCCATTTAGAAACAAATCCCATGACATTCAGAGAGGCTTAATCACAAATAAGCATCATAACTCTGCATCTGAATATGTTTTTAGAATGTGCCCATAGTTCTGATATTACCAGGTTTTTTCTGCCTTTGTGCATTGTGGACAAACATAAGTCAGTCCTTCAGGATTCCAATGCATCATTTTCAAATCCATTATTTAATGTTGCCTTGTTTGCAAACTACTTGAAGTAACATGATTAAATATTTCTTATCCTCTGTCTTCTCAAAGCATAAAATAGCAGATTGGCAGCTAGGACATTGTCCTGGAGTAATATTCACCTAGATCTTCTGCATCCATTTGTCATTTAAGGTCCAACTCTTGAAATTTATTGTATAAAAGCTTTCAGTAGAGAATCAAGAGCAAAGAATATTGAAGAGAAAGAATATTGAAGAAAAAGAATAAGAGAAGCAGGCAGAGAAATGGCTGCATCCACTTTTATATCTACATATATACATATTGATCAGTGTACTAAAGCATATAAGGAACGGCTGCTGGAATTGGGTATGTCTAGTTTAATGACGAGAAGGACGAGGGGGGACATGATAGCAGTGTTCCAATATCTCAGGGGCTGCCACAAAGAAGAGGGAGTGAAGCTATTTTCCAAAGCGCCAGAAGGCAGGACGAGAAGCAATGGATGGAAACTAATCAAGGAGAGAAACAACCTAGAACTAAGGAGAAACTTCCTGACAGTTAGAACAATTAACCAGTGGAAAAACCTGCCTCCAGAAGTGGTGACTGCTCCAACACTGGAAGTTTTTAAGAAGAGACTGGGCAGCCATTTGTCTGAAATGGTATAGGGTTTCCTGCCTGAAACAGGGGGTTGGACTAGATGACCTCCAAGGTCCCTTCCAACATTGTTGTTGTTGTTGTTGTTGTTGTTATTATTATTATTACATACTCTAAAATGTATAATTTTTGTCATTAAAAAGGTTCCTATTGTACATTGTACATTGAGAGCTTCTGAACTGGAGTCAAATTTCTTGTGTATCTAATCACTTAGCCAAATTATTCTATTCTGTTCTGTTCTGTTCTGTTCGGGATGTTGAATTACTTTGTATCATTCTTAATAATCTGGATTTCATTTTGAGTTGTCAGACCCCAAGACCCCAGAAAGACACATTGTGAGTCTTCTAAGCAAATTTCTTTGTTGCTCCTTACCTATAGTCAGAAATTTTCTCAAAGTAAAGCAGATTACTTGTTCCATAAAATATATAATCTGGGAACTATTAAGGGGGAGGTGTCTGTCAGGCCCCATAGAAATGTATCCTCATTTATTTTAGCTTCGTAGTTTCTTTGGTGCCTGCCATTCTGTTGGGAGGGGGGAGCATTTGGGGATGCTTTGCACTGTCTGCTTTGTTGCCTTGTTGCCCTTCCCCCAGGGGGTAGAATGTCTCACCCTTATCTGAGAGACAGTTTGTGCTTGGAGCCAAAAGAAATCGAAAGTGAGAGAAACCTTGAACAGCCCTCCAAAAAGACCGGTTACCAAAACATGATGCCACTTGTGGATTGGCTGGGATTCAAATGAACACTGGGACACTGGGGGGAGGAGTATTGAATGCTACTTTTAATATATCGCTTCACGGGTTTTTCTCTCAGATCTTGCATTGATTCCCTGCTGTCACCAGCCCCTAATAAAAGTTTCCTTTTGAGACAATGCTTGCTTCAAGAGTTCTGCTTTCTTGGGTGGCTTAGCTGAGGTAGATCCTTACAATGTCTTCACTTTCTTTTTTTCACCCAGACCAGGGGTAGGCAACCTCGGCTCTTTTATGACTCATGGACTTCAACTCCCAGGAATTCTGGGAGTTGAAGTCCATGAGTTATAAAAGAGCCGAGGTTGCCTACCCCTGACCCAGACTATCTAAACCGAGTTGTCTCTTGCTCCACTGGGACACTCTTCTCCTTCCTGGGAATCTGCATATTCCATGACAGAATGAAGGCCCCCAAATAAATTAGAGCTGGCATACCACCATTTTCTGCAGCCTTTAGGTATTCTGGTAAGTTGTTCATGCAAAATTCCCTCACTGAACTATTCATTGTCCCCTGAATTCCTTCCTCCAAAAAAATATTCTCCAATTTCCTTGTCCTCTTATTACTTTCAAGACGTTGTTCTTTGGGGAAGGATTCAAGAAGTCTGAGTGGCTGATTCTTTTTTAGTCATTTCAACACAATTTCTTGTTCATTGTTTTTTCTTTTTTAAAAAAGTTTCTGTCAACATAATAATAACATTATTCTTGCCGGCAATAGACTTGACTGCAATTTGATGGTTATGTTAATTAAGTTTTGATTGTTGGTTAGAGTTTTAGTAGTATTTTCCTGTAACCAATTTTGGATTTTGAAAGAGAGGGGGAGAAGCAGTAATTTGAAATTTGAAAAGAAATGAGAAAACAAATAGAAAATAGTCTTTTTTTTACACCCCCTATCAGTAGTGGATAGAAAAAAAGTGCTTTTTTTCTGTTGGATTCTTATCAACCCCTCCTGCT